TTCATTTCTTCCTTCCTTCCTTCATCCTTTATTTAACAGATGTTTCTGGTTGGGGCCAGGTAACATAACAAAGCTCAACCAGACAAAGTCCTTGCCTTCATGGAGCTTGCATTCCAATGAGGGAGATCGATTATAAAAATTCAAGTATAAAGTATGCCAGGGGATATTAGATTTGTTCCACTGATGGCAGTGTGGAGTATTGGGCCAAGGAGGGTTATGGCAAGGGTGAAAATACACACTCATGAACTCTAGTATTTGAAGGGATGTAAAAGGCAGAAATAAGGGCAGAGGAAAAAGTACTTGGACTGGTAAAGTTGTTCACAGACTCCATAGACCACCACAGAAGTGTGGGTCCAACAACGGCTTGTCCACTGACTGGCATGGAGCCTCCGAGATAAAGTTTGGTCTTCACCATGTCCACACATTCATGTCCCTGAATCCCTAGAGAGCACCATCATAATCACTCTGTGTCAGCCATGACTTGAGTTTCCACACAGCATCTCAGGGTAGATGTCATCCTCTTTGCTCAAGGCAGAAGGGACTTGGCTGGTAATCATACCCTGGCCCAGCCTGGGACTTGGCCACCAGACGACGCTGTGGCTGCTCCTTAGTTTTGAGGGAAGAAACTAGAAACCAAGAGAAAGAGTGATGTTGCTTTATAAAAATATTTGGATTATGTGAAATAAGAAGCAGTCCCGCCTCAGAATTATAGGGTTGTAAATCACTCTGAGGAGAGAAGGGGCCAGGGGAATGGGGAGACTTGGGACGTGAGTTTACGATCTCCACAGAAGCCCTTGATGGAATTATAGCCTCATAACTCACTGGGGCCTGCTCTTTCCTCCAGCCTGGTCTCAGTTCACACTCAGGGACCCCCTGGAAGGCCAGTCTGGGTGCCAGGAAAGAGAGGCCTTGTGTGTTGGGGGCTTCGGGCAGATCTGCTAGGCTCCTCCAGAGGGTGAGGGAGAGAAAACGGCAAGAGGATTGTTAGGAGTTGGGTGCTGGCAGCTGGGACTCAGTGTCAGGGATTCTGTGTCAAAGATCCAGGAAACTGAAGCTGAAGAGGCAAGCTGGGTTACAGGCCCAAATACCAGATGGGAGGGGTTTCGAGGGGTTCCATGGAGTTCTACAGGGGCATCCACATTCCACAGGGTATTGTGGACTCACTTGGAAAGGACACAGTGGATCTCTTGGACCCCTCTCTCTGGCTGCGGAGTGACACAAAGCTGTCTTTCTTCCTCTGTGTTGGTGCCATGTCTCCACCTGGCTGCTTTACAAAATGGTGACCACTAGCTTCTTGTCAGGGAGCTAAGACTCATAGTACCTCAGAGGAGCTCACAGCCTGAGAGTGGATGGCTTCCTAGGGAAGCTGACACTGCCTTTCCTCCCACTTGGGGATATGTGCTCCGGGTAGGAGGAGGGGTACCTACCAATGTGCCCACCTTCTCCTGACTTGAGCTGTGGCCTGTCATAACTAGGATGAATAAAATTTTCCAGAAAGCAGTTTTCCAATGGTAAATCAGTGAAATATTGAAAGTAACTACCTTTCCTGAGATACTGTGTGGGAGGCACTATGCACGTAATCACACTTCATTCCCACAACTTTCTTGCAGAATATTTCCATTTCACAGATGAGGGGAGTGAGATATAAGATGTAAATCTCAACCTATTTCAGGTTACATATATATATAACTAAGTATGGTATTAGAGACTTGAACTCAGACCCTTCTCTAACTATGGTGCATTCCACAAGGAAGCCTACCTGTGTCCCATTCCTTGATCATCTGAATACATCTCAATTCTTCTTTTCTTGCTGTTTGATCTTGGAGTTACAACCCCATGCCCACCATTGATTGTATTTTCTGTAACGTTCTTTGCATTTCCAATAGTATGGTAATAATCAACTCATCCATCAGAGTGAGAGAGAAACAGCCTGGTTTAGTGTTTTGTTTGGTGTGTATGGTGCATTTTTAAAAGTAAAGGCTCTGGAATCTGAGAAACCCAGGATCTTATCCCAGCTCTATCACTCTGTCATTTGCCTTTTGTAGGACTGAAGTTGTCATTGCCTTGAGACATGGTGTACCTGTCTATGAAATGGTAACTACTGCATGCAGCTGAATCCTGAGAACTGAATGAAGTAATATATGTGAATGACTTGTATGTACTTACATTAATAAATTGTCCCTCTGAGGGCTTTTGGGCATGGAAAATGGTGACCCTGGGTCATAGGGCACTGAAAATCAAATGTACAGTTCTACCTAACACTGGTATTTTCTTTATCCTCTTAAAATGTCTGTTTTCATAAGGAAGCAAATTTTATAATTGGGAGGCTAATATTTACACACTTTGCCTCTAATATGAGGTTAATTTCATTCAGTGATCTTCTTCAGTGGTCTTCTGGCCCAGCGCAAAGGAGAAAACAATGAACATTTATTTTATTATTGTGCATCCAGTATTGAGTTCACAAATAAAGAAATAGAAGACCTGAGTCTTAGAACTCCTCTGAGTTGGGGAGACAGGAAATAAAAGGGTAAAATTATTAGCAGATAAAATTATTATGTACATACCAGGAAATAAAGTAGCGAGTGGTGCATTACAGGCAATCAGAGGCTACAACCCTTCAGGATGAGGTGCTAATTATGTGGTGAAGAAGAGAAAAGCAGAAAGGGCTGTGGAAGGTTAAGTAGCAACAAGACCCTCTCCAGAAGTCTCTGTGAATTTGATGAGCCACAGAGCAAATGGGTCCATCCACCTGTCAGCAACTTCCATGACTCAGTGTCACTTTGATGTTCCTTATCTCACAGATGTCAATACTTTCAAGGTGGAATAAGTCTTGATTCATTGTGAAAGATGGAAAGGAGGAGAAAAAGCTGTGGCTGGGGATGGTAATGGAAGTAATGGAAAAAATGGAGATAGAAGAAAATTGGAGGCTCATACCAAAAAATATTATTTAAAATGGCTTTAATCTTGCTTTTATAGAACCAATTAAGGGCTTTAAAGGATTATATACTGTGTTATAGACTTCTTTTGCTCCTCATTTCCTATCCCATTGACCTGCCTGTCTATGTCAGCTGTTGCCACAGCAACTGGGTGGCTTGTATGTGGAATCTGAAAGCGCCTGATTTGGGGACACTAGATCTTCCTTGCCTTCTGCCTCAGGATTCCTCCAGTGCTACCATTGGACACCCACTCAGCCCTTCCAACACATTGCTTATTTATATGCACGAGAGAATAAAGGGCCCACTGGGAAGGCTATGGCAATGGGGAGTGGGAAGAAGTGGATACATGCCGAGGAGCACTACACGGTTTCTAGAGGCCTAAAGGAGTGGAGTCCCGTTGCATGCAGGGGGACAGCTTGAGCACCCACTTTGGATTGACCTTCCCTCACTTCCCTGCTGACCACTCTGGTTCCTCAGGACCACATTTGAAAATAACCCCCTTGCTCACAAGTCCTTGGCTCAGGCACTGCTTCTGTGCACTTTATTAAGAAGCTGTGTGCTATCTACATTTCAAATGCAGGATTGAGCAATTGAGAAATTCCTGAACTTGCTTTACTTCATTCACTTAAACACGTTTTTAAGAAAAATAGTAGTATATGCTGGGACTAGGCCCATGGGCTAGCGCTAGAGAGGTAATATGGTGAGGTTGTTTCTGGAAGAGCATGTTCTCAAGAATAGCAGCCACCATCCATCGAAAACTTAAGAGGCATTGGGACTTGTGCCAAGTATTCTGCACTCCTTACCCCACTCAATTCTCACAACTCTGTGAAGACAGTGTTCTCATTTTTACAGATGAAAAAGCCAAGATTTTAGAGAAGGTTAGGAACTTGTTGCAGTAAAGGGCAAAGTTTGGACCAGGCCAGGAGTTGTTCCCAGGGATGGAAGCCCTAACTGTCTGCATAAATGGGCTGTTCTCACACTGGGACGCAGTGCTTTCTCCAGTCTGTGCTGTTTGTGGGAATTCACAAAGCAGAAGGCAAACAGAACTGGGAGAATGATTGAGAATTGCCGCATGGAGTTGGAGGCAGTGCAGGTACATCTGAGGTCTTTTTGGTTGAGGAAACAAGATGTTTCCTATGGTGGAGGACAAGTTCCTAGTGATTGGGGATGACCACACATCCCCATGACCCACTGACAGAGTTGGAAGAAGTTTAACTGGAATTATTGGGGAATCTGGAAGATGGGGGAGTGGCAGCCCAGGTGTGGAGTATAGTGTGGAACAGGGTTAAGATGAGATGGGGTGCTGGTGAGCAGGAGTTCCTCTTTTCTTGTACCTCAAAAGGATCATCAAGTCTATAGACTCAGCCAGCATTTTTCTAGGCATCAAAAGAAGCTATCATCTAGGGCTCCCAAAGGGGTTGCCATCTTAACCTAGGACCTAGGTTGAGAACATGTTTTTTTATGCATGCAGGTGAGTTCTGTGGTTTCCTGGTAAACTAACCATTGATCAAAATCAAAGTATACAAAATTGTTGCTTCCAATACTTCCAATACTACTAACCTCCACATTCTGCTTTCCCGCCCTGTAAAGATTTATTCCTTCCTTCTTTTTCTCACTTGTCCTTAATTTTCTCCTTTATCCCCAATCTGTCTCAAACCCAGCTCATGAAAATTAGGAGCTTCCAAAATTGATTTATATTGCATGCAAAGAGTCAATATTATCTTTTTAAAAACATGTAGCTCAAAAGAATTCTCTGTAGATAAAAGCTGAGATTTTATACATCAGTTATATTGGTCAGGCTAAAGCTCTTATCCCCTGTAACAGTCAAGATCATCTCCATTATGATGCAACCCTCACATCTCAGTGCCTTAAGATGACAGATTGATTTTTCACTCTACCTACATAACCATCAGGATCATTTAGTGACTCTATTGTATGTCTTCATTATCCCTACTCTGTCATAGAGGACGATAGAGCATACTATTTTTTGGACCATTGCAGGTGACTTATATCACTAATGTTCATATTTCACTGGCCCAAGGCAAATTGCTGGGCCAGCTGGACTTTATTGAGGTGGGAAACTTTAGTGTTTACTCAGGGAGGGGAAGTAGATATTGCTGAACAGTGACATGGTCTACCAGATGTCCCTCTGCATGGCTCCAACCTCATATCTGTGCCTTTGGATTTCACAGGCACTCTCAGCAGTCCTACAGCTTCTGGTTCAGTGTTCAAGGAGGGTATTTGGGTAAACCAAAAGCGGGGCAAGTTTAGAGGAGGGGATTAGTGTAGAAGTGACCTACTCTGCATTTCTTCAGTCTGTTCAGCTAGAAGCAGCTCTGCTAAGTCAGGGAGAGATTTTTACTTCAGCATTTACTCTTTCCACCTGCAAAAGAAGTAAAAAGAGTGACAACAAAAACTTCCTAAGGTGTTACTTTTCTTGCAATGAGTAAATAAAGCATCTATTCTAAATTTGTCATTGAGGCTCCAGGAGAGATCTACTCTTGTTTTTACTGGTTAATCAAATATTGCACACAGGCATGACCTTGCAGAGTTCACCATCTCTTTTTTTGCTTTAGTTCTCTAAGTTGGCCTGCCCCAGGTATGAGTACAGTTAGAGCTATGAGTACAGTTAGAACTGTCTCCATGTTATGGATAAGGAAATAAAAGCACAGAGAATGGTCTGCTCAAGGTCGTAGTAGTTGCTTCTGATACAGTATGAGAGCATACAGACAAATGTCTCTGAGAACATGTAGGAACTTTGCAATTCCTAAGGTGTTCCTGTGTCACTTGGCCATACTATGTCTACCAGAGGCTGCTGGTTCTTGGGCTCATTGCTCTTCGTCTTTATCAGCTCTGATGTATCCTATGAGGACTCTCTTCTAGAGGTGAGGCAGTGCCAAGGGGCCAAGCCAGGATGGAATACCCACCAGGTTCCTTCCTGACTCTGTCTTCATGGCTTTCAGAGGCCCCATCTCTGGAGAACACTTTCTACTTTAGCAGTAGGGGTGCTGCTTTGAAGGTTGGAGGGACCTAAGGGTCAGGGTTGGGAGATGGTAGGGTGAGAGGGGAATGAAAAATTCACCTGAAATTTTGTCAACATCTGAGTGCCCTGGGTCTGTTTTACATCTATCTTCACCACAGTCCTCTTTCCTCCTCTCCTTCTCTCATCTTTCCCTTTCCATGTTTCTGTTCCTTCTTCCTTACTGATTCCCTTGTTTCACCATTTTTACTCTGAATAATAAGAACATTGGAATTATGTGGAGTTATCCCACCCTACCTTCTGCTTCTGCTGGCCTGAGGCTCAGAGGTGAATAGATCTACCCATGGTGGGCAGTTGAATGCATAGGAAAGCAGCTGAACATCCTGGAGCCTTGGCCAGGGCACTTTATGCTGTGCCATTTACACTGACTTCCCTTCTCCTGCATCCCCCACCTCCAGGCAGTATGGACCATGGGCAGACGTGTGAGGCAGGCAGCATATGGTTTCTTTCTGTGCTCCCTACTTGCACTGCCATCCACTCACTACCTCTAGGAGAAGCTGGGATCAATTCTCACCCCATTAGAATATGGTGCACATGCGTTATAATAAAATCCTTGACACCAAGGTGTAGCCTGCCAAGAAGAACTTAGCAGAGATAGTTACCCCTGGGTCCTCTTCAAAGCCAGCTGTAAGGGGCTGTTGGGGAGTGCTGAAGGGCAGTGTTCAGGCGGATGCAACAGGAGAGTGGTCTCTGTGACTCTCTGTAGCTAGAAGAGTCACCATGGAGATGGCTTCCTTGTCATTGAGAATAGAGCCTTAGGGAAAAGGAGGAAACCCCTGCCGGTTGATTTGGACAAATGTAACTGGGGCAGGAGGTGCCCTATGTCTCTGCAGAGTGAATTGGCCACCTGCTTACAATCCATCTTCTCCCCTGCCCCTTTCTAGCCAGTCACATAAAGACCCCAAATCTCAGAGTGCATTTTTTATTTTTTAATAAACTTTATTCTATATTACAAATAAGTTTTTTGTTCTGAACTGCAAAATAGGAATGCCTTATATTTACATACACAGGTATACAATTAATTATAACAAAGGTACAGAAGCTTGCCTTTACCAAGTTACAACTGGGCTCCAATTTAAATAGCATAGGTTTTCTTTTAAAAACTTTGTTTAAATCTTTTTTTTTTTTTAAATCTTATTAGGATACTCTTCTTTAAAAACCAAAACCAGAAGACCTTCTTTTTCACATAGGTCTCATCCACCTGTCTTTGAGGCTCACGTTTAACACTGTTTTCTAAAGGTATGTTTTGCTGTGTTCTAACAAAGGGTCAGTGTTCAAGGTGGGAGCTTTATTTTGGAACAGAGTAGGATGGGGTAGGAAGGGGGGTAACGGACAGAAATGACCTGTTCTACTTCCTTCAGCAGCCTCTCTCTGAGACTTAAAGACCTCTTCCAGTTCCTTAAAACACCCATGCACCCATTCCTGTTTTTCCTCTTCCCCTCTAGGATGTAGGATTTCCTTCTGGGTCATGTGACCACACCAGAACCCCTGCTCTCCCCCAACACCTCAGCTCACTGAGCCATTGTCTGCTGTGGTACCTTGGAGTTGCTGGTTGCTATGGTAACCTGGGAGGACCCTGTTGGAAGAGAGAGGCTAGTCCCTACAAGCCAAAGTAGGGAGGAAGGCAGCTGCATCCAATCCTTTTTCCCACTGCAGGGCCTGGAAGCCTTGTTCTCACTCAGAGCAGCCAACATGGGACTAAGCCAAAACCTCATGCCCAAGGACACTGAGCCCAGGCAGGGGGTGCTGGAGGGGAGGGTCATCCACCCCAAAACACAAAGTCATTAGTTTCCAAATGGAAACAAGATTCTTTGAGGTAAACTAGCTTTTCTGTTAAAGAATGAACGGTTTAATATTCCAACAAGCTGACAAGAACATCCAGGAAAGGAGCAGGGAGGAGAACAGATGAGGACACACAGCCCATCTTTATTCTGTGCCCAGATGCTCACTGCCCTCTGCATGAAAGTGTTCATCTATCTTGTTTGCTAAAGTGGTCTTGGGTTCTTAAGGGGTTTTTGGGTTACTGTTTAACTGTATCCTGTTTTGAATTTTACTCATAAGGGAGCCCTTCCAAAATGTGCTTGAGTTGAAGCTCAAAGATAATAACAAAAGAAACCAGTGGAAAATGAGCTGCATAGGCAGAGTCTATTTGATTTTGCATTCTTGGGGAGGGAGAACTCAGTTCCCCTAGACAGGGCTTCTCTGTAGTTTGAGGGAAGCTGATAAGAAACGTGAAGGATTCAGCAACTCCAGGGGCAGCTTAGAAAGTCAAGACTAGACACAAGCTCAAGGACGAGGGAGAAGAGGCCAGGTGAGACTCCCCTAGCCCACCTGGGCAACCTCCCTGCCTCTGCCAGTATGAACAGAAAGTTCTTTTTGTTCCTAAAGGGTTTTGTTTAGATTTGCTTTCTGCTAGTCATCAGTCTACTCAAGGAATTGGGATTCTAATGAGTATGTATTACTTTTATAACCAAAAATTCTGTGTCTTTAAAACTTGGGTATTTTTCCTAATAAAAAATAGTTTTATTAGGGAGCAATGATTGGTAGTAAAAAAAAAAAAAAAGGAAAAGTCTCTCTTAATATCTGATACTTTTTCTGCAGTGATTACTTTCTCAACAGGAGGCATGGTCAGATACACAGGCCAGGGCTCTGCACCCCACTCAGAGCACCATAAGGGAAGAGGCTGGTGGTGTTCCAGGCTCTATTAGGAGCTGCTTATTCAGGGTCTTCTGTTGGTGCTCCCTTGTGAGATAAGGCTCTAGTCTGCTCTGTGCAGAACACCTTGCGGTGAGGTAGGGGGAGGAGGGAGGGAAAGGGCATAGGGGCTGCTCTGTCTGTCAAAAGAGCAGGGGAAGCACTGAGAGTCTTAGCAGCCAGGCAGTAAGCTTCTTCCCTTGGCAGATCTACATCGGGGAATGTCCTGTTTCCTTTCTCTAATAACAGGGGAGGTTACTTCTGGCCCTTGAGGCTTTCCTCATCCTCTCTGAAGTCACAGATGTCCTTCTCCGAAGTACTTTGGACTTCATACCCACACCCAGGCTTCCTCCTTACTCTCAAACTCTTAAAATATACAAAGAAAAAAATAACAAAACTCCAAATAAACAGCCCACAGATTTCTAAAAGGAAAGAATGAAGGGGTAAGAGTCCCCCAGCCACCTGCCCTAAGGGGCTTATCAGAGGAGGCCTTTTATATTGATGAGAAACAAGAGGGAAGGCCCATGAGGAGCCATGGTAGTGAGCCACCTGGGCCTGGTGGGTCCCTGGAGATCACTCACTCTCAGAAATGCCCCTCAGAGGCCTCTAGGAGCTTGCTGGGACAGCTCCCTGGGTACTGTTCCTGGGAGGGATGTGAGACAGGTGCCTCCAGGTCTTCTGCCTGCAGGGTGACTCCCCAGGTCAGTCTTTCCCTCTTTCTTGGTCCCCTGTGAGAAAGCGGGAAGGCTGTTCCTGCTGGTGGGAACACCGACGCTTCACTCAGTCTTGCCTGACCAACATGCTGTGAAGTCAGAGGCAGTGTTCCCTCAGTTCTGTGAAAGAAGACCAAAGGCAACAGGACTTCTCTTTTTAGGTCAAAGTGAAAGATGCTTAGCTCCAGGTGGATTACAGCATCGCATGGGGCCTAGAAACAGTGACAGAGGCTCCTTTGTTGGAATGGAGGTCATATGGGATGTTACTGTAAAGGTTTCATGGGTTCTCAGTCGGGGACCTGCAAGACCCTGGCTGAATGAGGGAGTCCCTTCCATTCAGAGAGACAGCTGTGGGTTGGCAGGCCACACTGGGCTGGAGCAGACCCAGAGGGATCAATTGAAGGCTGAGCTTCTCCTGTCCTAGAGGCAATAGATGATCTTTTGGTGGAGCGCCATGTACAGGAGGGACAAGAAGGAACAGAGAGGATACTCACCACCTGCAGGGAGGCCAGACATTTAGTGGGGCATATAAGTACCAGTAATGCCAGAGCTGGGGAGGTACTGGGACGATGCGTCAACACGGACCCTGGGCTGGGAGTGGGAACTGAGCCAAGGGGACCAGGACAGGAGAGAGACCTTATCCATCAGCAGTTCCAGAGGCTCCCTGGGAGCAATCCTGGACACTCAGCTTCAAACTTCAGAATTCATTAAAGGCTTCTCGTTCTGGACATGGCCCCATTCAAGTATCCTGAGCCCCTCACTGGCCCATGAGCTTGTGAGAGAGAGGAGCTAGGGACCACCTCTTCTGACTGTGCATACTATGCAAGTTGTAATGTACCTTGGCATGGGGACACTCCAGGTGTCCTCTGTCCCCAAATTTAAAGCCATATTGAAAGAAGGCAAGGAAGTAGTTTTCTGAGGAAGTAACTGACAATAGCCAATTTCACTTAATGCCACTATTCACAGTTACTGAAGGTCTTGCCTTACTGGGAAGGACAAAGACAGATCAAGACCACACCTAGGGGACATATGGAGAGATGGCCAGGCTCCAACTATCTTTCTCCACCTCTTCTATCCATTCATTTACATTCAGGACCCCATCAAGCTCAAGCTCCCCTGCTCCCCTCACTACCACAAATCAATTCATCTGACTCCTACATTAAAAATCCTCACCTAACTTAGCTCAGTTGTTTTTGACAGTGTGATCCGGTACCATTTAGACCCTGTGGTCTCAAGGGGAGGAAGGTGTAGGGGTGAGGTAAAGGGAGAGGTGAGGGAGATTGCCTTTCTCCCCTGCCTACTGCCCAGACTCAAGCAGTGAGATAAAGTTTCCACCTACAACAGAAATGGGACCCTGCAAATTGACCCCAATGCAGAGGGAGGGGTTAGGGTTCCTCCATTCACAGGACCAAGTTAACTCCTTTCCTCTGGAACCCCAGGGGCCACCCTGAGAGCTCCCTGGGTTGTTGATCTGTCAGGAGGAGCTGGGGAATCACAAGGGGAGTTGAGAGAGAAGATTTGGGGGGAAAGGAAAGCTTTGGGGCTCCACTGTCTTCGCTTTTAAATGCATCACACTTGCACCAAGTCAAATGGAAGAAATGGGAAAAAATAAAAACAATAAAAGTAAATAAGGATGTTTACAGGCAAGATGGGTTGCAGCTCTGGGTGACCAGTTTCTCAGTCCCGACGCAGGCCACAGAGACTGCGGGCAAAGTGCCAGAAACAACCTACACCGCCAATTAAATCCCAATGTGCTCAAAACCCTCACCCAGTAGCCATGAGGACAGACAGGAAGCTTGTCTATCCTTCTTTGCTCTTTCTTCCTGACATTTGTGATACTCTGTGATGTTTGAAGTTTGTTTATAACAAAAATGTGGGGGAGAAAGTCCTGTACCGACAATGTAATAACAATAATAATCTGGTAAAAAATAAAAGCTTCAGCAAAACCATGATAACAGTCTTTTTTTCTCCTTGTTCATTTTTTTCCTCTAACTGTGCAAAACTTAAAAAATAAATCAAAACGCATTCACTCATCATATACACACTCACACAGAGCTTCCATCCAGCAAATCTGTGTTAAATAGGTTTGTGTCTCTCTCCTCCCCCACCCTTTCATGTGTGCAAAAATATTTTAGTGGCCAAGGTGCTTCCTCAGCCTGCTTCCCACGTGCGCCCTTTCTGGCCTCCAGGTCCTGTGGCTTTTCGGGAGAAAATAATTTGATCAGCGATAGAAATTCCACGCTTCTTCACCTGGCACCTTACTTGCCAAAACCTTTGGTTATATTTGTTTTCTCCTTTTAAATGAATCCTTTCTCATTGTCCTTTTCCTACTTATCAGGTTGCTTGTGTCTTTTCTATTTGTCCTCTGCAATGCCATGTGATGTTCTACTCTGGGTCACCAAAGTCCCAGCCTCAGCGGGTGACCACCCTGCTTTCCTACGAACAGATGACCTCTTCTCCAGCACTCAGCATAGAAAGCAAGTGTTGAAATGTCCTGAAGCTGCAGGATGAGTTGATGAGGAGGCAATGGACAGAGAAGAGAAACACTTCAACATCCTTCTACATAGGACAAGAAATCTTTTGGAGCTCTCTGCCTGCTCCTGGGGCAGACACACATATACACACATGCTTGCACATGCGTGCTCACACACACATGCACACACACACACACACACACACACACACACACACACACACTTATTCATATCCAAAGGGCCTAGTGTTCTTGAAAGTGCAGGATGCTGTGTGGACTCTGTTGGAAATATGTGTCTCCTTCCTCCCATGGGGCTCATTTTGAGTGGATGACAAGGAACGATGTCTGATGCTCAGGCAGTGAAGGCAAAACGGTTGGATCCTTATCGACTCTGTCTTCTCCTTGCCTCCCAAAGTAGAGGACAACTCAAGATCAGAGCTGCCAGAAGAGATTCCTGCTTATGGTGGAGACTGGACTACATAGTGCCGAAGGTCGCTTCCAGATTACAGGTTCCTAGGGCACACCACTAGACCACATCTCGCCATAGCCCCTGCTCACCCAGGACCCATTTCTGAGCACACATTTGCCTGACTGGCTAAGATGGCATACCCACAGACGGAAGGACAGGTGGAGAGATGGATGCCAGGGCCACAGTCAGTTGTATGTCCCTCCTTTCATTTCTAGCCAGTCTCTCAGCATGGCTCTCCAGTCCTTCCCAGCCATGACAAGCTGGGGGCCAAGGCTGGCTGGCATTTGATTTGCCCTGGTACGTCTGTGCTTGTGTATGTTTCTTCCAGTGATGCTGAAGAGATGAAGAATGACTAAAAACACAGCCCAGATGTTGATGTGATAGTTTCCAAGGAGCTCTGGACAGCCCAGTGACAAAGTCATCTGCATAGCAATGGCACCAGATTCTGCAGGGGTGGGGGACAGGGACTAGGCTGTCTGCCCCAGCCTTCTATGAAGTTCTCAAGGATGTTGGGGATGGAGCCTTGGAGACGGCTGGAGGTAGAATCTCCTGGATGCGTTCTGCATTTCATGCTGATGTCTGATGAAGGGTGACAGGGAGGTGGAGACACCTTCTCTAGACAACGCTGAGGCTCTGGCAATGGACTAGACCTATGACTATTTGTCAGGATGCACTTGAATTTGGGGGGTGAACAACAAATGCTTATTTTAGGGCAGATGCAGCCCTCTTTCTTTTTCTCCCCCTCCATGTTACATTTCTGCTGCTGTGAGCTAGATCAGAAGGTCAGGGGCATTTCCGTGGTGGAATGTAACTGCTGTTTTTCTGCTATCTGCTTTTCCACAGGCGGGGGAAGAGGCTGGGCAGGAAGGCCTGTATGGATGCTCGGAAGGGCTCCAGGGAGACTCCAAGGGGACAGGAGGTCTCTGAACTCCAACCCAGCAGGTAGGAAGCAGCCCTGAGGAGCGTCTCCCAACTCCTCACACAGTTCCCACTCCAGCCGTATGTGGAAGGGGAGCTCTCTCTTATCACCATTTACAAAGCACCCAGACCACTGACTGGCTCCTTGGAGATAGAAGCACTGGGGGAGAGGGGGGAAGAGTCAGGTGACATCTTCCCAGTGAAGATAATACTGAGCTCTCTGTCTCTTCCCTAAGCCAAATTTTGGACCATTCTCCAAGAAGGTGAAGTAGCAGCATAAAAATGTCCTCTGTCCACAGCTCCTCATCCATATTTGGCCCTGCTGCTGGTACATGGGGTGAGAAGCAGCTGGAAGAGGGCCCCACTCTGACATCTTCTGGTCAGATCCCTCGCTGTGGGCCTGATGGCCACCAAGGTGTAACTGAGGGCTGGTAGCTTGGTCCAATCATGTTGGCAGAAAAACTGAAGGAGAAGAGGACCAGGAAGGAGGGAGAGACAGAAAGAGGCAGAGAAGTGGGGAGAGAGAGAGAGAGAGACAGCACTGCTCAGGGGATGCTGCTGATGCCAGTCGGAACTTGCACTTGGTAAAGATGATAATCTAGACTGAGGCACGGCTTGGTGTGTCCCTCCCTCCAGGGTGGCCCTGGAAGGATGGTTCTCAGCTGTCTAAGCTCATGAGGGTTATGACTTGTTCTAGTTTGTAGGCCAGTTTCTGCTTCCCACACTGGTCATCATGGTCCAGGGGTCCAAGGATCTGTGAAAGGGCCAAGAACAAGAAGGTTACTAGTTTGAGTGTGTACCTTTGCACTCCTAGGGCACAGCCAGCCAGCGTGGACATGGTCACAGGGGGAAGACAGGAGCACCTGCAGATGCACATGAGATGGTGCTGGGTAAGTAGGCAGGCTGGGTGGGTGGGTGTGGGAGGCACTGGGCATGGGGCACAGGAGCATAGGATGCCGACACATACCTCATTCACAGGAGCTAGCTAAAGATACCTGTGCACAGAGGCCACCTACAGGTCCAACAGCACAGCACTCCATACCCAGTGTGACAGTGTGGTGCTGAATTTAACGTGGATGTGACTTTACCAATAGTAAGAAGCCCTACCCCTCCTTCCAAAACAGGGAAAATTGTCTGGATCAGATTCCTGGGGCCCAAATATCCACGTTTATTAACTCGTCTGGCTTACCTGCCTATTCAAAACCAAATACCCCTAAAACACTTTACTGGTCAGTAAGCCTACCAAAGCCCTGTCTGAGCTCAGATGGTTGGTGAAGGACAAGGACAGACAGTGACTGTTATGTGTGTAGAAAACATGTTAAGAATTCCTGTAGACTTAGCAGGTGTGTGACTAAGTGCTTACTGGGTCTCTAGCTGAGTGATCTGGGGTGAAACATGTGACCTTTCTGAATGAACTCTTTCCTTGTCTATAAAAGTGTAGGAACTCACTACTCAATCTCCGATCTGCTTCAATGTCAAGGCTAAAGTCAGGTGCCACACATGCATTCCTTAGCACAACACCAGCTGCACGGTAGACAACTGCTCTATCACACAAATAGGGTGGGATGTCCTGGGGTTGGGTCTAAGGAGCAGAAATAGGGAAGAGATAGAGGACGGAAACAGGAAGCTGACAGCTGGAGGTAGCCTCCCAAAACTTTGGATTTCATGACCAGCTAATGTATTTTTAGTTGGGGAAACAAAGCTGGAGTTGCCTGCTTCTGAGCTGCTAAGAACTGTTAGTTACTGGCACCATCATTTCTTAAAGATGGGACATTCTGACACCAAGAGTGACAAGTGCTTTGTAGGCTAAGGGCCAGTCCTTTCCAAAATGAAGTAGCAGCAATCTTACACTGATGTATATGCATCATCATCATCATCATTATCTTGCCTTCCCACAGATGAGAGATCTTTCCTTGGACCAGTACAGGTCTGCAGACTGGTATCATGGGCCCACTCCACAAGGGACACACGGCTGACCTTTCTTTGAATTGAGAGTCACAGAATATGCTGCTCTTGGCCTGTGGAACACTAGGCTCTGGGTCTGCAATGCCATCTTTAACCAGGGTTCCTAGACTCTCTCTGGGTGACAAAGCTGTGAGGAGGTAGAGCCCCTGGGGCACTGGCTTCAATTCCTGTGACTACCTTCCACTTAGAGGCAGGGAATCTGGATTCTGAGCTCACTTGGTCCACAGTTGCATCACCAGGAAAGCTCCCCACTGTACCTTGGTACCAACCAGAAAAAAGGCAGAACCTATAGTGACGAGTATTCCAGGTGGAATTCTACAACCAGGGAACATAGCAACTATAAACACATTCCATTCTGTTCCGTCCCATTCTGTTCTGTCCCTTTTACTCTTCTACTCTGTTCTCATCTGTTTTGTTTTTGTTCAAGTCAATCCTACTCTACTTTATTCTATTCTTTTCTGTTGTACCCCATTCTACTCTATCTCACCCTATTCTATTCTGCTTCTGTTCTGGTTCTATTCTGATCCACTCTACAGCATACTGTATCATACAACACCACATGGCCTGGCGGGTGGGGAAGCGCTTTTTGAAAAAAAGAAAATTAGATCACAAAATGATAAAAAAAATAAAAAGGGGAGTAGTGGGAAGGTAATAAGAATAAAAAGTGGACAAATGAAACACACCGGTCTTGTGTAAAGAGGAATAGGGATTAGTACAGAACGCATGACACAGAGCATTGCCAGGGTCCCAGCCTTTGCAGCACAGCCCCTAGTAGCTGAGTTTCTTGGAAGAGCTAGAGAAAGGTGCTAATGGGGCTGCTCCTGTAGCGCCACTCCCTCTTCCCCATCTCTGCCCTGTTCCCTCCCAACAGGCTGAGCAGGGAAGGGCTCACCTCCTCGCTGTATTTGCCCACATAGGAGAAGATCTCTGAGAGCGCGCTCATAGTGTTGAACTCATTCATGTGCATCCGGGACTGCTCAGCCAGGTATGCATTCATGTCCTGGTCACTGATGGCTGGCATCTTCCCAATATCAGAGTAATACCTGCCGAGGGGTGAAAGGGAAAGAAACTGGAACAGTGCACAGAGTACCGAGAAGAGATGGAACCTGTGCTCCTCGTAATGGGAGTCTGTGCCGTGGCCACTGGGAAGCACAGTAGTCCCTCTCTCCCAGCTGGACCTCTGCATCAGCCCCAGGGTGAGCCTTCTGTATCTCTGGAGGCAGGAGGCCAGCAGCAAGACACTACTGAAGGGCAGCCAGAGTAGGACCAGGAGGAAGGGGGGTCTTGCCTCAGGGGGCTTCTTTGCTCCCAGCTCCTACACAGAGGTCCAGCTCCCTTTATGTCCCTCCAGTGGCTCCTCCCACAGCCCCAGGCCTCCTCCAGCATGCCTAGAGGGCCCCTCCAACAACTGCTCTTCCCTGGTGTCCTGGGCTCTCCCCGGGTTAACCGAGAGAGGGGCGGAGGCTGGGGGCTGCTGGGAGAGAGAGGCTGGCAGAAGGCAATCAGTCACTGTCACTTGCAGCTGTGCCCTGCTGTCAACTGGTTAATTAGATGCCAGCATTTACATTTTTAATTTCTGCAATTTGACATTTTATGCACCAGACCCCAACTCCCCTGCCAGAGGGGAGCTGTGCAGTTTCCTAATGAGAAAACGAAAGGCCCCAGTGCCCAGAAGATGGCCACTTCTCTCTCACCTTCTCCTACGCGTTTTCCAGCTTATGGATGACAAAAAAAGAGAAGAGGAAATTATAAAGACAGGGAGCACTGGCAAGCCCAGGGGGCCTGTGGCTGCCAGCCCAGCCCACAAAGTCCTGGTGCTGCCTGGCTGGAGAATGCAGCCGGAAAACCTAGGATGGGGTGGGGGGAAGACACCTTGGCGCCCAGTTTGGGGAAGGGCACTGACTCAGAGAGAGGAACTGCTGGTGACAGGATGACAGTGACAGTTTCTGGCAGTTGCTAGGACTCTAGGCTTTATCAGATGACACAAGGTAGAAGACATCGCGAGAAGGCTCTTAGACAGTCCCACCCTGTACCCTGGGCCTTTCAACCCTAGCAGCACATGTATTTCCCAATGCCTGCCTGTCCCCAGCAGTGCCCAGGAGATGAGTGATGGACTGGCAGAAATGGCTCAAGGGACCCACAACAGAATGACAGCTCAATTTGCCATCAGAACATTACTGGGCAGGCAAGGGCCAGGATGGCTACCCTGACCTGAGCCATCGCCCTGCTGGTCTGAGACCAGACATCTGTCCTCACATCTGCGGGGAAGGCAGAATAGGGAGATGGAGCTTGTTTCTGAAGGGAGGAGCTGGTCTGAGAGACTCCTGTGGCCTTGGGGAACCCAGCCTCACGCTGCGTTTGGGCTGGCCCAGAGGCTGGCCCATGACACACGGACCATCCTGGCAACAAGCATGAGCACTTAGAACAGCCCAAGGGCCTGATGAGAAAGTGCTGCCCCTGGCTCAGGAGGAAGGCACCTCTCACAGCTGTCTCTGTCCTCATCGCTGCCTTGTTCTGCTTCCTTTGCTTCCTTGCCCCACTCCCCAAACATCCTTCTTTTTTCAAGTGGCCCCCACCAAAGCACCTCCTCCCATACCCCAATTCGTGGACTTTTGGGTGGAAATGACATCCCAGGTATAAAAGTTTCAGCAAGAGACTCAATTCACTATCACTATTTCTAGAACACAATAAATGCCAATGTTCCATTTTACAGCAGGAGACCAGGGGTTGTAGTAGTGGCTCCCAACCTTGCCATTCAAAAGAGATTTGTATTATCGTCTTCTCACAGATCCCACACCTACCAAGCAAGGTAGGTTTGCAAGGCAAGGATTATCCTCACAGGTCACCTCGGCGAATGGTGGAAAGCAGGAACAAGCTGCTCTCACTCTGGGTACTACGGTCAGCAGCCGCCGACCAGGCTGTACTAACACAGCCAGGTCCAAGGCCTCATCTAGATAGTTCTGCCTCACCCATGGACAACCAGAGCCTCTGACCAGGATGAAAACCCAGACTCCCTCTGAGATATAACTCATCAGAAGTAGAGACCGCTGCCACTTTTGTTACCTTCCCATGAACTCTGGTACAGGGAGATGGATGCTTCTGACAGCTTTGTGCAAACAGCACCAGGTGCCTGAGGTAGATGGGGGCCTGGGCTGCCACTGGCCCCACAGTGGAGGGGCCCTTTCCCACTGGAAAGGAGAGATGCTGAGCATTCTCTCTCTCACCATGGCTTGCCTCATGGCAGGGTGCTAAGAGCCCAGCCCTTCTCTCCAAGGAGAATATTGAGGAAATATGCATGTGTGAGGAAAGGAGAGTAAGGGACGGGGTGTGAGGGCAGGCCGGGAGTCTGAGAGTAGTGTGTGTGAGGCACAGCCTCAAACCTCTTCTGAAGCTGCTGGGTGATGCGCTCTCCTGGGTCAGCCTGCAGGTTTCTCCCTGACATGAGGCCACACCCACACTGAGCACTCTGCCTCCTCTTCCGTCTTTGCCTGGAGGCAATTGGGTTGGGCCAGTGCAGGTCTGCGGCTCCATGATAGCCCATAGGTGGGTCAATAGTGTGGCCTCATCTTCAGTAAGTTCTTCATGGGCTGAGCCTGGTGGCTACAAGCAGCTTGGAGCCCTAATGGATACAGGTCCTAAAAGCTGGCTGGCCTTGAGGCCTGTTCTGGACCCTGGCTGCCTGTTGCTCCATCCTCTCTGCAGAGTGTGGTTGATGCTGTCTTGATGCTTCCTGCTCCCCTCTGGAGCTCTGCCCAGGCCACCCCCAGCTGTGTCCCCATGCCTGGGCCTGCTGATGACACTGCTGCTAACTCTACCACATGCGCAATTACTCCCTTCCCACTCCCTGTGCCGGGATCCTCCACTGCGATGCCTCATCGATTGTAAAGAATGTAATTAAGCCACATTAATGGACTTCAGTGCAGTGAGGAAAGGAAAGATCAGCCTGGACCCTGGACTTGAACTTGTTCCTCTGGGGTGTCAGTCTGCTGGCGAGCCCTTCTTCAGGAGGCGCTCATGCTCTGAGAGTCCCCTGGGACTCTCCTGGAGCTGTCCTTTCTCTAGTGTCAGCCGCAGGTACAGCCTGGTGGGGCCAGTGGAGGCAGGGTGTGTGTGACGTTGCAATGCAGGACCAGAGCTTTAAGTAAGCTGTCTCGAGGCGGCAGTCCACTTTGAAGGGGAGGGCCCCTGGTCCGGGCACCATTGCTGCTGCCCAGAATGTGTATCCCACCCTTCTAGCTCCAGCCACACTCACCTCTCCACCCAGCTTTTGTAGCTGGGGATGTCCTTGGCATAGAGCAGCTTGTTAGAAGGCGAATCCTTGCCCAACCTGTGCTCTGATGTGGAGCAGGAGTCCATGAAGGTCTGAGCCACTACAGACAGGCAAGCATCTGTGATGCTGTTCTTGTGGATATCAAAAACAAACTGTGGGTTCTTGATCATGTTGACCCAAAACCGCAGAGGCAGGCTGCATGGAGGGAAATGCATACGGTCAGGGGTGACGGGGCAAGGGCTGCGGCATTGCCAGAGTTCTCTGGGGAAGGAGAGATGGCAGAGACTCACAGTGCTTGGGGGCCTTCTGTAGGTCTGGATGGAGTGTGCTAGGCCACTTTTCCCTCCCAGGAATCTACAGCTCAGCAAGGAGGGCTCATTCACCCTGAAATACATTGCTGGGAGGGACTGGAGAGGGCTTGGTACACAGCTGGAAAGCAGGGCTGAGGGACTCTTCCCTTTGGCATGAGACACAGTCACGATGTGTGCTATAAGGCAGAACTTCACACTTCCCATTCCTCTGTCCCTTCAACCCTAACCACCATGCTGGGCATGGAGCATCCAGTTGGCAAGCTTTAAAGAACCACCTGGACTGTAGATTTTGCATCTGACCCCTGCTGCCTACTGGATGATTAGGCCAAAGTCAGCCCTTCCTCCCTGCCTGGTTCCTTAGGCTCATTCCTGCCTGGTAAAAGTACAATGGGAGGCAGCTTAGCACTTTTTCACCAATAGGCATCTGGTCCCTCATCTGCCCTCTTGTGCCTCCTCCCCCTCCCCTCTGCCAGTGGGCACCACTGTTTGCTGGGAGCTGTGCTAGTGACGGGAGATGCAATGATTAAGACACATCCTCTGCTTTCAAGAAGCTCCATGTTGGTGGATTTGTGGGGGAGACAGGCAAACAAGTCTCACAAGCTAGGAGTGCTAGAAGTAGAAAAGGGTGTGGTTTAGGGTAGGACCCAGAAAGGCTCTGAGCTACCCCGTAGGCAGGGTTTGCAGAGCCTTCACAGAGGGGATATTGGTCTGAGTTTTAAAACATACATAGGCCAAGTGTGGTGGTGCATGCCTATAATCCCAGCACTCTGGGAGGCTGAGGTGAAAGGATCCCAAGTTGGAGCCCAGCTTGGGCAATTTAGCAACTTATTGAGATCCTGTTTCAAAATAAAAAATAAAAAAAAGATTGAAGATATAGCTCAGTGTGAAGGTCCTGAGTTCAATCCCCAGTGTTACAATAAACAAAGCAAGCAAAAACACACACACAGGTGTTCCTTAGTTGGGCAAAGCCTGGAGGAAGTGGCAGGGAGGGGCAGCAGATAGGGATCAGCATAAATACAGACAAAGAGGGCCAGCAATGCCTTTTGTGTGGCAGTCTAAGCCACTCTCACTTGCAAAGGAGGGTCCCCGGCTTGGGGAGAAGCCTGCCTCTACCTCTTTGGCTCTGCGGCTTCTAGCCAACCTCCCACAGTGCAGGAAGAAAGAGGTGGTGCTGCCTAAGGAGCATTTATTTCCCCCGCCTCTGCTGTCACTCCATGCCTCCTGCCATGTCCCCTGATGCTTTATTGTTGTTTTGGTGGCTATTCTCACCATAGGTGAGAGTTATAATGCACACACGTTTAGCTTCTCTCAGAATATAAACTCTTTGAATATCACTATTTCAATGAGGCAAGTGCAATATCTCTCTACTCCTTGTACCTGCCAGAAACCAGTATGTACAAACAACAAGCACTGTACATACAGTAAGACCTAAAATTCAAGATTGTCAATCAACTAACAAGTATTATAACAAGTGTGTGTTAAGTTCCTACAGCCAGTGCTAGGCAGGATTCCGGAAAGTACACTGAGATCTGACAATATGTGGTAGCATTTGCTTCATTGTTGGAGACCCAGGATAGGAAATCTGGGGTGGTATCCAGGGACAGCTGAGAGAGTCACAACACATGAGTGAAGGAGTATCGCTGTAGCTGCCCAGCTTTCCCTGGGGAGATCACGATCAGTGAGCTCAGAGCTTTCCTCAAAGGACTCACGGCTTCCCAGCTCAGTGTCCTGACTCCAGCTTCCTGGCATTCCAGATGCCAGGGATGCTGGGAGCCCAGACAGTCCACATTTGTTGCACTTGTTGCATCCCACCCCCCAAGCCAGCTGTGATGACAAGCACATCAAACAGGGCTGTCAGGGCACCACTACTGTGGCTCTTGCCTAATGAAATATTAGCATATTATTAACATTAGTGGTGTCACTAATCTCTGGTTGATTGCAGCCACTCAGGCTAAATGAGCAGGAGGTTTATTTAAAAGAAAAGGTAGGGAGCTGTGGCAGAGGAGATGGGAGCGCTACTGCACCTTGGGCCAGGATTAAACAATCTCTTCCCAATCAGGGACAATAAATTCTGAATCAATATACAGATCTCATAATTCCTGACTGCTTTTTGCCTGGGCAGCAACAGATCAGTCAGGGAAGGACAGTCAGGGAAGTCTATTGGAAGGACAACTTGAACCTGGTGCTGCTGCCTACTTCCTGGGCTTTCTTGCCCCTGGACTTGGAATTCTGCACAACACCAAATACTTGGAAGAGCTGGCAGAAAGGGAGGCTCTGCCTTCAAGCCCAGGGACAGTGTAGCTCCCTTGAGGAAGCCCAGCAGGGTGACAGGCTGGAGACAAGGGGTGTAGACATGAGGAAGTCGTTCTTCCTATAGTGGGCATCAGAAGGTGCATAGGATGATCTGAAAGGACAAGGCAACTGGACAGACCACTTCCTACCTCCTGAAGCTGCTGGTGTTCTGGATCAGTGACAGTCATGCCAAGAAGACTGGGGGAATTCAATATCATCCTACTCACTGCAGGCAGAGGATAGACCAGAGAATTACTAGGAAGAAATGGCTTCCCCCCATGTTGCTGCACTGATCATCAAGGAAGCCAGAATCCAAAGGTCCTATTTCAGAAAGGGGGACAAACTCTGCCATGGGAGATCTTCTCTCCTCAGTGTTAAAGTGGGTGAGAACCTTACCCCTAAGCTGTAAGAGTCAGACATCCATCTGGCTCTGGTGTCCCATCCCCATGCAGAGCACACTCTTCTCCAAGGGAAGGAGGGAGGGACCAGAGTGCACCCCAGGTGTGGTGTTTAGGGTGGAGTTTCATCTTGACTGGCTTTGGGATCTACTGGCTTTGGGGTTTGGCAGAGCACACTTCTAGGTATGTCTGGGTGGGTCTGTATCTAGTCTCCCACCCTCCTTCCTGGCCTCCATGAACTAAGCAGCTTTACTATGCCACACCCTTTCACCATGACGTCTCTGCCTTAGAGTCAGCTGACCATGTACTAAAACCATGAGCAAATGAAAGTTCTCCTTTAAGCTGTAGGTGTTGGATAGTATATCTCAGCAGCAAGAAAGCTAATACACCAGGGAATCCAATTTTCACAGCCTAGCCTGGCTTCAGCGTTTGCTGTGTCCTGGTCTGGGCCCAGGGCTGGTTGTAGGGTACCTGTCTGTTCCCTGGTGCTATGGTGGTCCCAGAATTAACAAGCAGTAGGCTCTGGGCCCATTCTGCCTTAAAAAAATGATCCAAGGAAAAGCAACCCAGAATGGGGACGAGGGGAAGGTTAAAGGGAGGCGATTCTGGAATGGATGGACCAGAGAATTGGCCAGCTTTGCCCAAGATGAAACTCTCAAACAGAGGCCATCCTGGCCCTGCATCTGATTGGGCCCATTTCCAGTGTGCAAGGCTCCATGCTGCAGGCAGAATGCTGATGCGTGACCTTGGAATTTCAGCCTGTGATACCAACCATGCAGTGTGGAAGGAAAAGGGTTATATGTTAGAGGACACCATAGTGGAGATACCCAGAAGTGTCATTGGTACTTACAGACTCCTGGGGTCTCCAGGGAACACAAAGTGGTTCTAGGCAGGTCTCTTGCCCAGCCAGGGCTTGGAAAAGGAATTCACAGGTGAGGGAAGAGAGCAGCTTATTAAATAGAACAGAAATGGCCCTTCACTTGAGGGTGTGCTTCAAAATCCCACTTACAAGTCACCATGAGATTTCTGCCCTCCGTGGTTCCATTGCACACAATAAACTCCTATCCTAGCATTTGTCTTTCTGTTCAGAAAGCTGACTCTTCTAGGATCTTCAATATCTAGCATACTGTCAGGTACCCAGAGGTACCTGGATATAAGAGTGGCCTTGCTGTGACATAGGCATAATATCTTTTTGCTTGTTGAGCTAGTTCAATAAATGTTTGTTGACTGACTGAGAAGAAAGATGCACAGATCTGAGGAGAGGTGAAGGGAGGAGGAAGTGAGCACAAAAACAGAGTAGGAGGGAATGGAGAGGGCCTTGCTGATGTAGGTGGAGGATGGCCAGAGTGTCTGTGGAAGGCCTGGGTCCTATACTGACTTGGGGCTGGGTGTACCATGTCACCAGCTTCTTACGACACACAACACCTCCCTTCACTCACCAGTTGCTCTTCCAAGTGTGGCGGACGTGGGGATCATGAATGCCGTGCTTGTCAGCCTGCTCATCCAAGAAGTCAAACATGTACTTGATGGCCAGTGGCAGGGCGGAGCCGCGGTGGGCTGTGCTGAAGATGGTCTCAAAGAGGTCGTCGACAAACTTCTGCAGTGTGCCCTGGGGAGGGGGATATTTTCAGTCCTGGCTGCACCCAGGCAGCTCTGATGAGGGGTTTGTAAAGTTGCCCCAGGGATGGGGACAGCCTCCTCTGCCTGGGTGACCTTGGGTGACCTTGTATAAGTCCATGTGTTATATCTTCTCCTTTCACTTGCCTCTGACAGCTTTAAACTTCCTCAGCTCGGGTACAGTAGACAGCTCAGTGATGGCTGGGCCTGAGCAAACCTCCCTCTGCCAGCCACATGGTTTGGTTCCGCATTCTCGGGTGGTGTCATTTTAACACTTTTCAAAAACGCTAATGAGCACGCCCTTGGTCAGAGGCAGCCGACAAACACAATCTGCTGGTTTTGTGTGGGCTTCGTGCACACTGGCTAATGAACAATTATGCATCCGGCTCTACAGAGACCCAGCAGGCCCAGTCTCAGTAGAGAAGGAGCGAAACTGCAGGCAGGAGCCGTACCCAGGACCAGAATTAGAAATGGTGCCTGGAAAGTCACCAAAGGAGCCTCAACTACCTTCCCTTGTGATGGTATAAGATGCCCCCGGGAAAAAGTGATTTTGTGATGTGGCATGCGGGAGACAATGGCAGGTGCAGGGGGCATCTCTGTATTTGAGACATGGTGCAGAGAAGGGAGGACTGTGTGCCAACACTGATATCTTAGTGGGGTTTGCCTGTGCCCAGGATTGAGCAGAGTTCTGAGGCTCAGTCCTGGGGAACAGTCCTGGGCTGACCAGCACTCCTGCTGTGGGTGGATAAGAGTCTTGCCAGCACAAACATTTCTGGGCGCAGATGACAGCCATTCCTGTGTCCCCCAGACTCCTGGCACCTGCTGTTATGCCCAATACCTTAGTGGCCAGTAGCCGAGTCAGATAGATCTCAGACACCATCTTGCTTCCCCGGTCACCCTCTTTCTGGTCCCCATGCTCGTGGTTCTTCACCAGGTGCCACATCTTGACTCCACTCTCCAGGTCAGGGGTGATCATGGGAGTTCGCGAGCGGAGGCTGTCTGGGCTGCCTGTGTACCGGATCATGTTTTCTGCCAATACAAGGAGCATCCCAAAACGGGTGTGAGGCCACACGGCCCTGTACTGGGTAACTCGCAGCACACCCCCTTCCCTGTCCAGGCTAATGACTGCCTGATCCTTCCTGCTGCTGCCTGGCACCATCATTTTGCTTCCGTTTGGTACATTGCCTGAAACGTAGATGCCTTTCTCACCACCTCCAGGAAACTATCTGCGCCTAATTCCACCCACTCAGATTTCCCCGCCCTCCTCCAGTACTTTGCATCAAGTCAAACCTTAATTACTCAATTTGTGAAAATATAAGCTTGTACTTCTCTTACATGTGTCCTTGCATGAGTTCTCAAGTCCCGTCTCAGGATGTGCTCTGTGTAGCCAATTCAGTACGCACTCAAGAGCAGGTAGCCTGTCTCCCTTCATCCGTGTTGACCAGCTCAGGCCCTGCCTACATGCCACTCACCTGCATCCTCCCCTCTGGCCTGGCACAATTCTTCCCACTGATTACTGAAAGTCCTGCCTCAATGAAATGATGATAATGGGCCTACTGTGTGGCACCTTTCTATGTATTCACCCATTTACGATCCACAATGGTTCTATACATTTGGTTGTTTTTTCAATCTCTGTTTTCCTACTAAGAACATCAAGGCTCATGACGGTCCTGTGTGGTTGGCCCTGAAGCACAACAATGGTGGCAGGACAGGGCTACCTTTGCGGTCCCTACCCCAGGTTCCCATCCCTTCCTCTGTAGCTGCACAATCTTAGGTCTAGGCCTGCCCCTCCATATAACTGCATGATAATGGTGTGACCTTTATAGTCATTTAGCGTCTGTGCATCTGAGGTATAATTTACTAATCTACATAATAGGGGGAAAATAATAATTACTCAATTCACTGGATTGTTCTGAACAAGATGTGAGAAACTGAGAGTCACAAAATGGAAAGTGTCGTATAGATTGGAAGATACTGATGAAGGTTATATTCCCTTCTCTAGCTCACGAATGAAGGTCCTGTTTATGCATTTGAATTACAGACTAGAACTAAGTTCTTGGTCACAGCCTGGTTCTTCTCCCTGCTAGTCAACCAGCCCTACTCACCCCAACTGTGGCCCCATGGGTCCACTGACTTCCAGGTGTGTTGCCACCATGGTAGCAGCTGCTCAAGATACCCTCATCTCTCTGGGACATCTGATAAGCTCTTACCATATTTGCTTGCTGAGGTCCTGGAGACTGTGGAGTTGTTCACTGCGTTATACGCTGTCACCTGCTTGGACACTAAGGCTACCACAGAGCCATCTGGCACCTAGAGGGAAAAAAAGGCATCTAAGGATGTGGGCACAGAAACTCTGCCAGCCCAGGAAACAAGAGCTTCGTCTTAAGTGGCAGTTAACACCTTGCTGGAGAGCTTGGGAACTTTGGAGGCTGTTCCCTTCCCTCTGCTCCATGGGAGGTCACCCAGCTTTAAGTGCCCAGGGAACTTCTAAGGGAACGTCTTGTCCTGGGGACTCTACCCAAGAAGCCCTGTGGGAACTATGCACGTCAGCATCCTATCTCCAAAGAGGCCAGGGGTCCCTGGTTGGGTGATGTCACTTTCCCCTTGGTCACCAAGAGAACATGAGCTGCTGGTGAGGAAGTGGGTTGTGATTTATTGCCTAGTCTTGTGATGACCCCATAATCAAGAACCAAGACTCTCAGGAAAATGGCCAGCTCCTGTCTTCCGTATTCACCTCACCTGGTAATGGGCCAGGGTGTTTAGTCTCTTCCAGTCATTTTCAATTTTGGTGGTGATGTCTTCATCTTGCAGGATCATCCTTGCCCCACTTCCTTGTCGCCACTCTGCAGGGAGAGTGGTGGCATCTCAGGGAGGCCCTCTGGCCCCTCCTGGGGGGATCCTGAGGGCCCCATGTAGGTGTCTACACAACACTGTCTTGAGGACACATCCATAGACAGACGAGTGCCAGCACAGGCTCCCAGAAACGTAGCTGCAGACTCTCACAATGCAGAGAGGTCCAGAGTTCCAGTTCTGGTTCTAATCCCAATAAGCCATGTGACAAATACGAGGATCACACCACCTGTCCCCCTCTGCCACCTGTTTGCTATGAGTGGCCATATCTGCAAGAAGTAGACCTTCAGTATGTATTGGCTAGATGAAGGAGGCACTTAACACTAAGCACTTACAACACAGTAGGCAAATGCAGGAGGCAGTGTCCTCACTGAGCATTATATACATGTCTGACTGCACAGTCTGACACTGAGAAAGTCAAGACTGCGGGTTCAGTTACTGTACACTTGCACCTGTTCCAGTTCCGGTACTCTAAAGCTGGAGGGTGAGTGGGTTGCCCTTGGAAGAGTGCCCAGGTAAAAATGTGTAGACCATTCTCACGTAGAAGTACCTCTAAACCCATACAGCTGATGTGGATAATACCAACTGTGTCATCTACCAGGCAACTAAGTCTTGTAATGCTGCTGGTATACGCTTCCATCCATCCGCACCCACTCCTCACGGGCCCAAACGCCTCCAGCTCATGGGCGGATGGGCCACACGTAGGGAAATAAGAGGCTGCTTCTCATCACCCAGATCCCACCACTGACTCAATACGAATCACATGTGGAGAAATGCACATGTCAAACTTAAAATGACACATGTGGAAATCCATGTGTATGGCAGTCCTCATGCATGCACACACATGTGCACAAGTGCACATACCCAGATACTGTTCTCATGAGCATGCACCCAAAAGGAAAAATAGCCTCTTAAATTCAAACCCAACATGTGTTCTGGCCAAGACACAAGCAATCTGGATTCCAGGCAGTGAAGACCCTGCTCACTGCTCACAGGGCTGTGGAAAACTTCTAGCACTTCTGAGGCACACAGGCAGTGCTTGCTTGTGCAGAGTGCGGTCAGGCGCAGGCTGACTGGCTAAGGCGTTTTCCACAGAGACACATATTCAGTTTCCCTACCTCGTTTCCCTCCTGTCAAGACCCAACTGCTAGTCTTCAGTTGACCACATCTGTGCATTTGTGCATACGAAGCGCTGGTCTCTCCCTGCATCGTGCATGCTAAGGCCAGTACTGCCATCCCCATTGGACAGGAAGTCAAAGTCCAGAAGAGGGGAAGCTGGCCATGACGAGCAGTAGAGATGCCCCAGGCGCAGTGTCCCAGGGCTTCCCTGCTGCCTGATTTCCAAGTTAGTGTCAAAGGAATCAAGATACAAAGGTGACACACTTGCTCATTGGAGCAGGAAGTCTGGGGGAATGTCCATTCCTAAGCCCTGTTGATGGCCCAGCTGAAATGGCTCATGGCAGTTACGACTTGGGGCCATGAGGGTGATGGCCAGGGGAAAATCTGAAGCCTCTGAAGCCTTTGGGTACCAGTGTGTTTGTCTGTCAAGGTGTTGTGTTATTTCTTGCTTTGCCTTTTCAATTTAAGCTTGCATGCATGTATGTTTGACGGGCAGGGCAAAGGAAGAACGATGTCTCCATGCTGGTCCAGCTGCCAACTGGAGGTGCAGCAGACACTGATGCAGACCAGGCTGGCTGAAGAACACAGCAGTGTGTCTCTGCAGCATACAAGGTGAATGTTCATGGTTTAGTCACATGCTGCATGGGTTGGAGTGGCAGCCCAGGGGCAACTTCAGAGCATTCACAGAAGGTGATCAATATTCTGCATTTCCCCTGTCTACTGACTGAACCCCAAGGGAGTCTCTTCCAGGGATGTGGCCATGGGGCTTCCAGGTCTAGACGGAGAAGATACCAGACAAAGATCAGTCTCTCAGGATAGCAGCCACACTGATGCTGCTTCCTGATGAAGTTCTAGTACATCTCCGTGGGATTTGAACACGTTTCATGGTCTGGTGGCCTGGGCAATGATACTTGGGAACTGGTTGTGGACCCCAGTGTAGGATTTCTATGTTGCACAATGACTCTCAAAGTTGTGCAGTATGTAGTCTGTACAGCCATACTCAGCAGCCTTGGCTCTGAGTCAGTCCAGTAATTATGTAAGCAAATGAGAGTCAGTCTGCTTCCATGTCCCCATTCAAAGAAGTAGGACAAAGGATGGCCATGTCTCTTCAGGGCAGCTAATGTCCTTGGAGTACGAAATTGCTGCTGCTACACCCCTACCAACAGGGCCAGCTCAGTGCACTGGACTGAGAAAGCACTTAATAAATATTCAATAAGTGAATGACTACATGAATGAATAAATGAATGAAAGAGACTGGTGGCTGGATGACTGTGGCCTGTTTTCCAAGCAGTAAGATCTTACACCTGTGTGCTTATGCATATGGCAGGTAGACAGTGGGCTATAGTCTGGCAAACCGCAAGCTGCTTCAGTGCCCCGGGACCAAGAGTGATCCGAACAGAGAAGCAATACCAGGCACTTCCATTGGCAGAAGTGAGAGTGCTCTTAGATGGCTGTCACTCATTCCCTAATTTTACCCCTGGGAAAATGAAAGGCAGACAAGGGCAGACCTAGAGGCCAGCATGCCAGGATGCTGCTCAGCTCACTGACCAGTGTTGCACAGACACTTCTTGGGATGCGCCTCTGGGCTGGGGACTGGACCAGGTCATCAAGCCACAAAGGTACCTAAGAGGAAACCCTCTGCTGAGTGTTCTCAGGGGGAAGGGAAGATGTGGGAGCAGATCACACACCCTAATGTGGTGTTTACCACCTAAGATCAACCATGTGTGAGCAAGTGTGCAGGAAGGAGAGGGCTGGCCTTCAACCTGAGCCATGGGTCAGCCATGGGCATACTGTGATGAAGGCAAAGCAAGCTGCCTCCACCAACTTCATACTTGATGCTCTGGGAGGCCACTAGCAGTGTTCCTTGAGGATGTGTTTCTGTTTCTACAAAATCCAGTTTTGCCAGTGGGGTGCTCACACTTCAGGCAGGGATGCTGTGCAGCAGGCAGGCAGAATCCTCAGTCATCATGGAAGCCGACATGTAGTCATAGGGCCACAGGCTACCCAGAGGCTTCCTGGCTGCCCAGCCCTGCAGGGCCCCAGCCCAGCCCCTGCCTTGGGTAGGGATCCCCACAGCAGCTGAGAGGGAGTAAATGTTGCCATTTTATCTCAAACAGTTAGGAATGCTTCCTCAAATGCCAGTATGAGGATCGTGAGCTGGAATCAAGGGAAACACTTAGCCTTGTTTTTAGAACTCCTAAGCCTGTTATTTTTGTTCTCTAGTATACAGAAAAATTGCTATGTGTTGTCTTCTGAAATATCAGAAAGGCTTAAAAAAATGAAGTGCTGTGCCATCCCAATGCAGTCTTGATGAAAGGAAGCCCGTGAGATGGGCAGCTGGTGTTGGCAGCAACAGTTTACCCTGCTGAACTCCAAGTGGAAGAGAGTGTGGGGTACAGCTAGAAGGTGGCCCCACATTCCTGTAATGGAATGATTTAAGTGACACACAAGAAAACCCACTCCTCAGCGCTCACTCTTCTTGGCTCACAGTCCCCACTTTTACACTGTCACCTGGAGCGCACACCCATGCCCACATTGACTGACCTTCTCTCCTTTCCTGACATCCTTCGTCCAGGCCAGCTCTGGCCTCTGTTTTCCTAGGATCATTATGGAATGTCTCAAGGAAGCTCAAGGGTAGACTTGGGCTCCACTTGTTGGTCTTGAATGATTTTGTGACTTTGTCTGAACAGAGGATGAGCCACTGGACTCTACTCACTGAAGCAGACAGAACCAGAGGCCAAGGTCAAGGCCAAAGCATGAGGCTTTTCCCTGCCGCTGTAGCAGTCCACCCTCCAAAGCTGCGTGGCTGGGCCATGAAATCTCACCCCAACCCTACAAGGCTGGGACAGCTGAGGGCGAGGCAGGCCCGACACTTTCAGACACAAGGGACAACATCCTGTGCCTGTGCACTGCATACAACTGCTTAATTCATTCCCAGGAGCCTCTGAATACCAGGGTCTGAATAACAATAACAATAAATTGAACCCAGGTTTCTTAATCCCCATCCTACATTCTTCTCATTAGACTCCCTTATCTTGCGTATAAAACAGCACTAAAACTACTTCTCTTAGTGGCCATCCCTGAGAGGTGACCTGTATGAAGCGACCACACCAAAACAACTGAGAAGCAATGTGACAACTCTGCCTATGGCCAGCATCCTCGGAGTGAATGGTGAGCCTCCTAGGGAAGATCTGGCTGCCCTTATGGCCCAGAAAGGGACCAAAAATGCCTCCAAGCCACCAGACTGAGAGATACCAAGATCAGAAGTGGCCAGTGTGAGTCCTGAGACAGGGTGACTATTTCTCAATGCATCTTCCAGACAAGAACACTGACTGTCTCATCTAAGAGGCATGTTTTGTAGTTGGCATGTTGAAAACCCCTCTTCAGAAGATCTCAGCTCCACTCATTTGTGAAATCAAGGTTCCTGAGAGGGTCCATGGTGGTTCAGGCACTGCACTATAGGACAGTTACACCAGGGAATGGAACGTTCCAAAGCCCTTGCTGTGGAGACCTTCCTGCACAGAGAAGCTGTGTGGAGCCCTGTGCTCAGGGCCAGGGGATCCAGACGGCAGAAATGTGAGGGGATAGACACAGAGGTCTACTTGGGAAGGAGGAGCAGGCATTTGCGTGACTGGCAAAGGAACAAGTGTTCTGGTCCAAAGGTGGTGGTACTTGTATGACACTTCAGGGAAGTCTGAGTATGAGCCCTTGTGGGAAAATGTTGGAAGAAATGCTGGAAGTTGGGAAGTGAGTTCGGGAAAACTCTGCAGGCCAGGCCCAGGTGTATGGGGTTTATCTGGGCACTAAGGAGATGGGAGGAGAGGAGAAGGAGAGGATGCAGGAGGCGGGGAGCCCTGCTGCAGACAGTGAGGGG